CGTGTATTCTTAATTAGCATCATCCGTTATGTAAGCACGCGGTCTAGAATGGAAGCGCAAGTCGTTTTCTTGGTACTGGTATACAAAATCCAAATTGTAATGGGAAAAAATGAGAAAAACGGTCTTATTCTTAAGATGAACTATACTCTCACTGAAAGTAATATATTTTGGGAAAGAAAGATGCAGAAGTTGAAATTGATTCGATATGCACCAATAATATACTCGTCGTATATATCCCATAATGTAGAATTGTTAAAATAATGCAGGATTGTGCAAATTCAGACATAGTTGTGGAAATAAATACCGAAAACTAGTATCTTATGAAGCTATATAGTTCGGCAAATGTGTTAGGTTTGCCGAAAAGCAAAAGAAAGGCTTAATGTGCGTTGGTATACTCATTAATATCGGCGAAACACAAAACTTCAACGCCAGAACAGTAGCCAGTTCGTTTTTCTCACAAATAATCTGGAATGTAAGTTATGAGGGTCCTTATAGCCGTATGCGATAATTTATTTCGATTAATCTTTAAAATATATATCGACCCTTTTTCTTATTCAAAGTGGTCATTATTCCCCCCCCCCCCCCCTGTACTGTTATGCACGAGTTTCTCGACTATTGTATAGAGAACAATAGAACAATAACCGGTCGGTATCTATTTGCAGACTTGTTAACCGGTCGGTAAGTGATTTACTAGACCGCTTCTAACAAAGGAGCCGGTAGGTAATTCAAAATACCATAATTTTTCAACAAAGATAACGTTTCTTCATTTGGTATAACATAGCTTCACGGCACAGATCTACAATCCAATAATTGCTCTCTATTGTACTGTCTCACTGTCATTGTACATGGATTAGCCATGACTTCAGGTGATTTGGTGTTCACCAACACAATTGATATAATCACACAGTATATCCAATATTTCCAATATTTGTTATTTTCAAACTTTTTCAATTCAAAATAACTCATAAATCCAAATATAAATCACAAAATCAATTTCTGTAACATGTTGGTTACAAGTTTATAGATGTCCCTGCCAAAAATCTAGACCCAAAAGCAGCTTGTTCAAGCATAATAAATCCAAGTCTGAAGAGCATAAAAATTGCAGCCTGTACATGGCGCACTATATAGAACCAAAATTATATAGTTTTAATTTACGAGGCAATGAATCAATTATAAAATTATGTTTTTTTATTAAGTAAAACAAAGATGTTTGACAATAAAACATTTGAGCCGCGCCATGACAAAATCGACGTAATGCGTTTGCAGCCTGGTCTGGATCCATGCTGTTCGCTATGAGTTTCTCAACTTGTTCAGGAGTTTGTAAGCGAACAGCATGGATCCTGATCATTGTGTTGATTTTTGAAATGGCGCGGCGCATTTTGATTTGCAATGATTTGTGAACGTAGTTAGTGACATGAGAAAAAGTATTTTGTTTTTGGTCTGATGTGTATAAAGTATGAACCTAAAGTTTGAATTGTTTATTTTGTAGATGCTTTTTTAAATCCTTTATTGTACAAACATTGTCATTCTATAGGACTCAAATTTCCATTCATATTCAAATACGATATGGATCAATGAACCTGTCTGCTTTCCTTCGTTTGTACATTTGAAAAGGACGAGGTTTAAGGGGATTTTTAAATTCATCTAAAACCTTTTGAGGCTTATAACAATGTTTATGACGTCAATGAAATGGTTCAGCTTTAGATCAACTTTGAGGAAAATAATTGTAAAAATCAGGCATCGACTTCTGTTTATGATTGCATTTATCAAGAAACACAATGACCCATCAACGTTTGAAAAAAACTTGAAAATCAAAGAATTTAAAGAAGTAAGTCTCTTTGGTATATTATTTAAGGAATTAACCTTATTCTTCTTAGCATACTAGTCAAGACTTTAAAAAAGATTTGAGATTAAATTAAGGACAATTTTAAAGGAAAAAATTCATCATTCTAATGATCGACATTTTGCAAATAGTCCATGCTTAAAAACAACTTTCAACAAAACATTTCGAACTCTTGTCTCATCATCTAAAAATGTGACTAAAATAATTAAAATGGAAACCTTAAAGTTCTCCTAATGTGAAAACAATTCAAAAACAAGTTACTACATAGCAATAAACAGAACTAGGAAAACTGTCGGTGCTTCGGATATTATCCATTGACAAAGAACTTTGAAATGAATAAGACATTTCATATACTTTAAAACATTTATAAATTAGTTTTGTATAATAATTCATAATCAAGCGAGAAATTGATCTGGTTCAGTGTTTGGAGTCACAAGATCAAGATCACCTGTGCTAAGTATTTATTTCTTACACTTTTTCTTATGCAACATTTCCTTTTTATTACCATTTGGAAGGAACATGCCTTGGGTGGTCCTTTAAATTTAAGTAGAGGTTGGGGTCACTTGGTTAAAGGTATTGCATTTATATGTATTTCATAAACTTGTATTAGTAAATTGAATATTTTTTAACTTCATCAAATAGCAATGACATGCAAAACTATATTTTCACAATAACATAAGGTCATGCCTCTGTCAAGTTATATGACTGTGTTTCATATTTTTTCTTCGCATTTTTCTCTAATGAAATAAAGTCTGATAACTGAGAAATTGGGTAAAACTGTTTTGAAGATTTGGTACTGACAAAAATCTTGGCCGGGGCATTTGTGTGTACCAAACGCGTTCTTGTTTTCTATCTCACGCGATGATTATTATTAGTTTTCCCTTTTATAAATGCCTAACATAGTAAAGTAGTGTAGAAAATATCAAACCCTGTCGGGTGTAAATTTACAAATGTATATCGCTGTTATTATTAATAATCGTGTGTTTCTCGCGTGACTTGAGGTTATAAAATATATTCTGTTCTGATAAATATTAGGATACTATACCACAAATATGTATATTTGATAATGTTTCATTGACAACATTTTGTAAGTATAAATGACATTACATGTATTTCAGAAGATAACAAAAGTTGTTTTCAACTTTGATTTGATAGACAAAAAAAATGAAACTTTTTTCTTTGAATAAAATCATATTTAGAATTGATTTAAATATCATTACTACATAAAAGCATATAATAAGCATAAACAAATACAAAATCGAACAAATATTTATAAAGCAAAAACCCATTGTAATTCAATATTTTGTCTTTTATCTTCTGCTAAATATGTTGGCTTTTTTTAATTTGTATACTTAATTGTTAAAAGTACAGCTTTCAATAGAAACTTTCGTGGATAACATATAAAATATAATGTATTGATACACTTATTGAACTTTGCTCGGTTGCCGACGAAATGTTTCTTTTGTTATTGAAACCAGACATTTTAGCACTATGAGTGACGAGACATATTATACACGTGAGATGATACTGTTTTGTTGTAAATGTATGAAATAGTGCAACCGAGAAATGGACTGACTGACTGACTGACTTTAAGTCATTGGGAACAAAATTAGTGCACTCATAGTATTTAAGTACCAGATCACATTTTAGATTTACACACATATGAAAAACCAGTATTTATAAAGCATATCTCTAGACGAGTTAACAATTACAAATGTATTAAGAGTTAAATTTTCAAAATTTAAGTGGACCTTTGTATGTTTATATGCAACTTAGATAAATTAGGTTTTATTCATAACCATAAATATAACAAAGCAAGGTCTATTACTCTATAACATAACAATTATATTCTCAATATTTGATTTCTATATTTATCTTTTATTTGATCTCTACATACATATTTTGTTTGACACTTGCATTTATAATTATTCCTTTAGAAGTTAAATAATTTGGTATTATCTATTGTTGAAGTACAACATTTTTAAAACCAGCACCAGTTAACTAACAGTACCTACATAAAACACTGTAAATATTAGAACAGCGTTCATGTGCTGAATGTAGTAGCTGTTATAGGCACAGAACGGATTTATTTCAACATTGAATCAATGTCCCATATCATAAGATGATGCTATTCCAATAGTCGGTAATGTCTTGATGTTTTTATGTAACGTATATAAAACATGTCTATTCCATACTGTCTATGCATCACATAAACATCAATATCACCATAAACATATAATGATCACGCCTATTGTAAAATAAATAATTATGAATACTGACAATAAGACCGGTAACTGAAGGTCTTAAATCCATACAAACAATACCTTAAAATCTTGTTGTTCAGAATTATTGTCAGAACAATAACTAACGATTATATCCAAAATTATCATTATAATTTAGTAATTCATTATAATATATAAATGTAGTATATCATTATCGAAAGCTAAGTTAACTGAATAGTGGCAGTCAAATTTATAATTTTATACTATAAGCAAGTATTCGTGTTAATCAATATATTAATCTGATACTGCTGAGCTTTTTCAATTATGTGAAATAGTCCATAATTTAAGACTAGTGAAAGTGGCATTACAATATTTTCATTTTTCAATAGTCAATACCTATAAAACCTATACCTATAATTTCAACTGAAGAAGCACACACATGGTTATGTTACTTTAAAATCGAGCTTATATATTTCACTTTATTATTGCTATCATCTTTTAAGTACGGTTTTTATCAAGAAGATTTCAAATGGTTGTAACATTTTTTCGTGTCATGACATGAGCGTGAGAGATCATCCTTTAATGCACAATAAATGTTTTAACAATAAGACTAAATTAACTTTCCGTGACAGAATAAATAAGATTTTCTTCCTTTAGTTCATGTTAAAAGGATGATACAAAAAAACTATTAGTTTATTTGTGGATTGTACACCCTTTTAAGCAGCCTAACCAAGATTGACACATATCTAAAACACAAAATCATTTGAAAAGGAAGTAGACATTGCAAACGTGGACATAACCATTTTTATGTCCAGATTTTTTTAAGCTGAAATGAATCAACATTTTATTTTACTGGAAAGAAACAAAACATGACAGTTTAAGAAATGTACAAGTTGATTTTACTAGAACCTAATCACAGATAACATATAATGTCTATGTTAACAAGGAAGGGAACTGTTGTCAGAATCAAAAGAGGTTCTCTGAGGGGGTCACGAAGATCACGTCGGTCCGTGAAATCAGTTACAAGTTGTGCATCTGACTCTTTCCGGCTAAAACACACAGAAAATAGCAGCACTTTTGAACTGAATGAATATGTGAAATGTGAGGAGGATACAAAAGTAAGGACATTAGCGGACGTCATTTTGGTAAGTGTTTTTAAGTCTATTTTTAAATACTTTGCTGGTATTCATTTACATACTCGTTAATTGCCTTTCAATAGTTTTTCTCAGGAAATAACAGAGTCTACAAAAGGCTTCTGCAATTAAAATACATCTTCATATACTTTTACAATCTTAAGTTTGTTCTCGCATGCTATTATTTTTCCCATACTTCATTTCCGTATATAAACACGATACCTTGTATTCATTTTATTTTTGTTCACATGCCGCAATAAATAGTTTTTTACCTGTTCATTGTTAATTCTAATTTCGTTTGCTCATACTATAACAGAACAACGACTATCATACACATTTCAAGGCACAAGGCTTCAAAAATTAATATTTTTTTCCTTCTTCAGATATGGCAAACATGAGTATATTGTTTAAATAATGATTGAGAGCAATTATCAAGAATGATTTTGTAAGATTCTAGAATGATATAAAGCGTTTTATATAATGGTGCTAAGGTTAGAGTGACCATTCTATCTCCAGATACATTACATTTTACCGTCAATCTTACAAAAATTCCCCTAGAATCAAAGCAAAACACTAACCTTGACCTATCAACTCTAAGCTACAATTATTTATTTCATACGTGCATTTATTTACATCAAATGATGTTTACCTTGACAATGACTAGATTTGTCATTACTATGATGACTCATGCTGAAAATTACTCCAAATTGAGATGATATTGAGGTATGAATGTTTGCATTAAAGGTAACGGATTTACGTAACTATGTACGTGTAAACACGCACAGCTGTAAAGTGGGCATCTCTTCAAATACAATAAGTCGGTATCAGCAAGAACCCTTTATATTAAAGATTGGTCGATTGCGTTTATTAGATAAAGAATAATTACTTGTACTTATTTGACTTCTTATCAAAACAGATTTTGTTTTTTAATTATCCTACTACACTCTTGGTTGGCAACTTTTATAAATAAGTTGTACATAGTAATTGATATAATTATGTGTCATATTTTATTTAAACATACATATAAATTTGTAATTTATCGACATAATGTTCATCCTTTATCCATTCAAGTACTGTATATGTATAACTCGCATAAAAATACATGTATAATTACATAAACTTTTGTGTGCAATATATCGCTTAAAATTTATCAACATATGTTTCACTTTAGATGAAATAATTCCGATATGTCGGTTGTTTTGTATGATATGTAAAAAGCAGAGTATTATGTCGAGTAACTAGATCGTCTGGTTCAATATTTGAGAATAATTGAGAAAGAACATCTGTTTCTCACGTGACGTATGTCTATCAATGATCTAGTTAGTCATCAAAGTTTGTTGATGAATTTATAGCATTTTGTCAAAGTAAACCTCGGCTTTGAATATAATATGTTTGGAAATAAATAAATGTCTTGGTTTGATCAGAAAACGGTTAGCAATCTTTTTTCTTTTACATGTATTTACCAAATGTGCTGTTTTTTTTCTTTTTACCTTCAAAGGATTAGTGGCATGTATGTTACATATTATATACATTGTATATGTTTATTTTAGGTAAATTAAAACATTTTAACGAAGTAATAAGTTATATTGGTAATTAAAGTAAATTGCGAAATAATAGTAATACTTCCGTTGTGTTACTAGGTAACCAGTCTAATGTGATACTGTACTTAATTTTCCTGAGTTTTTTTCTTGATCAGCTCGGAAAAACCGTATTTTATTTTGCTAATGATAATTTGTATAAGCTATTTTACAATGAACACCAAGTTTTCTGTTTGTAACTGTGTGACCTAGACGAGTAAGTCACCGAAGTTAGTAATTATATTGTCATTTCTTTACATGTCAAAGATACATTCTTATTACAATTTAAGTTTATCTGTCTGAACGTTGTTGTAAAAGTTTGATCGATATGAAATCGTCGGACAAATTAAAGCACTTTTTAAAAATTGCAATGGCCAAATTTAAATAATAATATATATACAACTACTATTTAGCAAACCCTGGTCTGGAATTATGTTGTATTTTAAAGACAGTTACAATCTATATACAATGTACATGTATATTACATGTATGATCTTTGTAAGCACATGCTGACATTATTGCGGTCTCCTCAGACCATTATCCATTAATTCTTAGTTTGTTTTTTCTCTCTCTCTTTTTCTCATGTACACATTTGTCAAACTTTGATTTTTTTCCTTATGCTGTTTTGCGCTGTTATTTCTATACGACACTGGTTACTTTTTGGTCGGATGAAAACAAACGGAAATGTCTGTTTCAACTGCTCGATAAGAAACAGGCAAACAAAATGTTTTGATAACTGAGCATCGATTATGAGCGCACGTGTTGCCTTGACACTTCCATACATAGATTGTCGTGACGAGAAAATAAACAAGGCCTTAGAAATTCATCGTCCAACTTCCTCTGAGTAAATAGAGATTGTTTAAATATAATTAATTAGAAAAGTATATGTAATTACAGTCATTTGACGATGAGAGACAGCTGGTGCGTACGTCAGTTGGTGTGGACTATCAGATGAGTGCAGAAAATCAGCCAGATTATGGGTCTTTTATGTATGAGATCAGAGAAGCCGACAACGATTCGGAAAATGTTATCGAGTTTTGCTGTAAAACTTCAAATATTATTTGTAACTCATGTACGTATATATTTTTTTATCAAATATGTTGATGTTATAAATTATTAATATGATCAGTTGTCAAGTGGTAAATGTCTGCAGTTTAACCCGGGAGACATGTGAAGTAAACGTGCTTAAACCATTTTATCTATGAAAGTAGTTTCAAAAATTTCAATAAGTTAGACTTCTCCATTGGTCCATTCTCTACTCTCGGAATATGTTTGTATATAACGAGCTTATATAATACATCGCCGTTTACACGTATTATATACTTATAGATGTAATAAGAAATATTAATGCAATAAAATGCGTATTTTCATTTTCTGTATTTTTACTATAAAATTTATCTTTCGCTGCAGTTTTAGGGAAAGTCTTTGAAATTGCAATATCAAAAAAGAGATAAATGTAAAAAGTAAAGAGAAAATTCAAGATTTTTTTCTATGAATACACGATTTGTTTAGATCTTGAGGTATAAAAACCATCATATTTCACTCGTGGCTACAGCCACTCATGAAATATTTATTTTTATACCACTCAATGAAAATGAATCCTGTTTCATTATAGAAAAAACTTGAATATCCACTATTTATTTGATCCCATATAATTGCTTACACGGCCCAAAACAGTGTTTACACTTATATCACACAGCCAGGAGAAATAACAATGTTAATATTTCTATCAATATATAAAAACATTAAATAAATTTGATATCAGTTTACAAGGAATAAGTTATTTAATATCTTTTAGACTAATATCTTGATTCCTCAGAGAAAATGATTAATAGATAAAAGTTGTGTTATCCGATTATATGAAGATTTACTTTCAAATTAACAAGGATTTTCATATGATATATTAGTCATGGAAAAATAACAAAAGAAATCATATTAGCCACAGCTTTTAATTCTAAGTTTAATATTTTTATTTCAGTGGTAGTTACGGTTTGTGTAGGACTGTCAATTGCCATTCCAGTTGCAATGATTTCGATAGGTAAGATTGCTCTTAAAGCAATATTAGTAAACGTAAAGTTTACAAAATCTATATCTGTTTTTGCGTAAATATGTAGAAGTAAAGTAGTTTTTGTTATCATTTTTTTATTATTCTAATATTTTTATCAGAAATATAAATTGTGAAGATTAAATTACGAATAAGTTGATTTTATTTTCCTTTGCTGCCAAAAACACACTCTCTGTACACTAGAAATTAAGCTAGACGTGTCTTCACTCACTTCAGGAGTCAAAAATCTAGAGGATTGTCCGAAAGAACCTCGGATTCCAGTCTATCTGCTCGTTGGTGGCTGTTTTGGAATGATCAAACTGCTTTCAACGCTTTGGAGAAACATTCAAATTCGTCGCTATGAAGATATGGATACGGAATTTGGTGATAGTGATTCTGACGAAGCATTCGCTAATAAAACATACCGTACCATGGATACATTGTTGTTCTTATTCCTTGTTGGCTGGCAAATTGTGGGAACTTACTGGACGTTAACTATTTGGACACCTTCTTTTAAACAGACTCTACATGAACCGAGTAATTGGTGTGATAAAACAGTTTATTATTTTACAGTTTCCCAATTATGTGGATCATATATTGTTATGATAGTGTACGCAATGTTTTTAGGTGTACTTGTGTGTACTCAAAGATGTTGTTATAGATAAACAAAATACATTACCAAAATATGTGACATTCGAACAGTTATTTCAAGACAATATAAGACATTTCGAAGTATATTGATGTGCATGTGAATGCGCATATCAATGGAATGTTGAAACGACCATTCTATCATTGTTAATTTTAAATGATTGTATAATATGTTATGTATATTGTTATCTAATGTGACTGATATTTATTTGTTAATGTTATTGTTGTATTTTTTCAAAGGATTTACCTCTTATACGCTTAAATAAACTGTAATTAATTTAAATCTACCTTGAAAACTATTATAACTGTATAATAAATAAACAAAACTCTTCCATGTGATGCCAGATTCATTATTTTATGGGATCTTTTACAATCATCAAGCGAGATCGCAGAACTTATCTGAAATGTCAGGTTTAGATTCGAGATTATGCGAGGTTTCAATTGACACGACCTGTAATAATTATACGTCATTTTTCAATCACAATCATATAGTTTAAAGTAGGTTTTCCAGGTCGAATTCACGACAAGACATTATTGCCAAAGCCAGGGTTTCGTATGGGAGCAATACATGCAGATACTTTCGTAAACATTTCGATACGAGAATCTAATACCGATGTGCCAAAGATTCTAGAATCGTGTGACAGTGATTAGGCATTCTGGTTCGAATTCTGATAGTGTGAACCTAGCTTGACATACCCGTAACTATTTACATCATAACTGCTGCGATTGCATGGTGTAAATTACCAGCAAAATGGCATTTATGTTATAGATTAAATATTCTATTCTTCACTACCATTCTGTAGGACTATTTTGTGTATATACTTTCTTCTTTGTTTCCAAATTATGTACAATCATAGTTTTAGTATATGAGTTGTTTGTATTTATGTTTTTTATTTGGTGGATATATGAGAGACGGAAAGTCGCCAAAAATAAATTTCTATATACAGTATTTTGCACTGTTGAATTTGTATATTTCACAGAGGAAGAAACCAGATTCTGAAAATTATTTGACAATCGTTTAACAGGTCATTTGGCTCCTCAAAATATGTTACCAAACAAATTACTCGCTGCTATAACGGAACTGTCTTGCTTTCTAAATTACTAATAATTGACAATAAGATACACATCTTTAAATCGTTTTAAGTCGTACATAATGTCCTTAATTCATATTCTCTTCTGTTATTTTATTTTCAAAAAAATATGGTGGCTGATTTGGTACATTGCGCGTTGTGTTGTCGATAGCGACAACGCAACCTATATCGTTATCGCCTTTTTCGTTTTGTCGCAAGCGACAACACGACAAAGCGCCAAACGGCGCGCTGTCGTCTTGTCGTCCTGTCTCTAGCGAAGCACGACAAACGGCGCGTTGTCGTGCGGCGCGTTACCGCGATGTCGCACTGTCGCTTGGCTTATAAGCCAATCCTTCGATTTGAACCGAGCGACAATGTGACATCGCGACAACACGCCGCACGGCAACGCGCGGTTTGGCAACATCGTTAGCGACAGAGCGACAAGACGAAAGTCCGACAACGCGCCGTTTGGCGCTTTGTCCTGTTGTCGCTAGCGCCAACACGACGCAAAAAGGCATTCCAAATCAGCCACCATAAAAATTGGCATACAAATCCGAAATTTTAGCAAACAATATGGTATGATTATGCAAACTTCGGGACAAATGTTGAATTTGCAATTCCCTGTCAATATCTATAAACTAGTGCTGATATAAAAGGAAAGTTCAGATCTTAAATAATGTTCTGATAACTCCCAAACAAAACATAAAAATGCTTTTATTTATTATGGAGATAAAAAATTTACATCATAAGGATAAGTTCTCGAACAGGGACAAATCCGCTTAACTTTTTTCTTACATAAAATTCGATGATTGCGTGTAATCCCTAGCGTCTATTTAAAGGTTTCTGATCCTATAATGTGTAAAAAGAAATGAATTTCAATAAAATTCATTTCACATTGATTATAAAATGCGGAAATTTGTTCTGAACAAATTTCGTTTAGAAGAAGTATTATTTAGAAACATATTTGGTCTGTCCTGCTATAAAGGATATCATATAAAGGATATCATTATACCAATTTTTGTAACACATCACAAAATCATTTTGATATAAAAATGTATTTAAAAAACAGACTGATTCAAGTAAACTTTTCTGCTAAAAAAGTAAATTGTTAACTAAAATAAGAAATAAGGTATTTTGTTTTCAAATTATACCTCCTTCTCACCTTAAAGAAACACCGCAAAGTATTAAAATTACATTATATGTGATACATTTGATCAAGAGAAGATATTAGTCAATCTTCTTGTGTAGACACCAACATTTCTGTGAATCGTAATTATTCCCTTTCGTTATAAAAATCCTAGTTTAGTTAACAATCTTTTAGCAATACAATTGGAAATCACTTTCTTGCTTTCTAAAGAAACAATTGCAAGACAAAGATGTTTGCTTTGTTTAGCAAATTTAGGAGTATTTACGTACTTGCTGACATTAAAGCGTGTTTGGCTCATAGATACTTCAAGGCTTTGATGACAGTAACAATATTTCAAGTATCAACGGTTAAATATTATGATGGACAACTTTCTCTACAGAAAATAAGCAATTTACAAACGAAATGGGAAGAATGTTACACATGTCGATGTTCATAACACTCCTCGCCATAAGACAAATACAAGTGAACTTAGCGTATTGACGTCTTGGCGCTAGCAAATACACGACAGCAAGGAAGTAATAGAAATCAGCTACCATGTGGAACCAATTATTAGAATCTACCATTGGATAAGATCAAGTAATTCGAAATTTCTGACCGGAAAGTGATCGGTATAGACACTTGGCGATAGAACCAATCACCCGACCATCACCCGACCGTTGGGATTTCTCTTTCTAACTTCTTATTTTTGACACCTGGACACATAGAAAACCATTAAAAAAATTCATTACGCGATGAAATAATTCCTTGGCCCAAAACCTTGCTGGAGATTTGGGGCGAGGCTTAGGTAATTGACGTTCCACAGTTAACAAAAACATTTTAAATATTCGCAAATATTTTATACTAAATATGTTAATTTTACAAAACATTCGATGAAAATAAATTCAAATGAGATTCATCATCAAGAAACAACGTTATCGTTACAATAACATGCCTGTTTTACCATGCAAAATGTCTAACATTTAGTGTCTACAAATTATTCAATCCATATTTCCATGGTTTACAAAAAAGGATATAGCGTTCGCAAATATTTTCTACTAATCCGGGCAAAAGTATTCAATGTAAATAAATTCAAATCAAATAAGTTTCTATCAAGGATGCGTAAAAAAGATCAACAACGGTTAATAATATTTGTTATATGTTACGGTTTGGATTGGAATATCCATCCCAAGGGTACTCAGCCCTTTGGGCGGTAACGAGGCTTGCTGACCATATACAAGCAAACCCTGACATCCAAATGGCTGAGACAGAACGATTGAACCAATCAACAATAAAGAATGTCTATGGAAATACTGTTTACAGTTCACCTTTACAAACTTTAAAGACACACAACTTCGGCTTCAATAGAGGATTTAAAGGCCAATAACGTTTAAAAAATTATAAAAAACGGAATGTAAAGAATTTTATAACTTTTAAGATTCACATCTGCTACAATGAAACCGTGTTTGTTTAAAGGATCAGATATTCACACGATTTCACTTTACGGAAGAATAATGATTGTTTCTCAGAAGACAGTATTGTATCCTATCTAGAATCAGCACACTATAGACTTTATCCCATAAAGTTAATGAAATATGTTACATTGCATTTCAACATTCGCAGTACAATAAAATGTTTTATATAATTCCGATATATAAAAATAAGAGAATTAAGTCGTATATAAATACCGCCATAGCATTTTGCATATAGAGTTGTCCTTATACCTATTTTCTGCTTTCACTTTGGCCAAAACAGTGGGATATGGGGACCTATGGACACATTCCTAGTTATTAAATATGATTATAGGATCGTATATTCTAAAACACGTTATATTAAGAAGAAAGGAATTTGCTAAATTTGTTTTGCTGAAAAAAGTCCTTTATGCATGATTCCTACGATAAAACAATTTGGTTTTAAGATGAATTCTTGCATAAAAACTGTGCACGTAGGTATGAAACAACGAAGAAGAAAACATGTATAAACGGATAGATTCTCGTAAACACACCCGTTTTTACACGTCTATTAAAATATTCATGACTCAAGGCGCAACGTGAACAGGCATTTTTTTTTTCAAAACATAACTGTCAAAAGACATCGCCCCACGGGCTTCTGCTTTAAATACACCCTCGTGCTTCTGCAGATGATTATGCACAAAAAGATGCATTAACTATCTATTTTTAATCATTGCAATCTTCCCATCAACGTTTTCTTTTTAAGTGCAGATTAATGTTATTACCATTCGGTATTGTCAATATAATTTGTAGGTTTACGCCACTTTTCATGGAATAGCACTCACGTTTCACATTGAATGTTCCATGATCACCGCCGAATGAACACATCTGTGGAAGTACCTAAATTCAAAATTGTACCATTACATGTTTAAATGTTGAATACTGCTTAAGTCGGTAATAGGGGTTGTGGACAGTATATTGCATTTCCCATGAACAGGCTAAATCAAACCGAGCCTGCAACATTTTCAATTTCACCGTTTTGGACTTTCTTTATGGATTCGTTTTTCTCTCTATTCTAGAAGTTTTTCCTTAAATCTCTTGATTCAACAGATGTTAACATTTTACTACAATTACAGCTGTTAACATTATAGTTTCCATGTTTTTCAAAATAATTTATTTTATACATTTCCTGTGACTTATGATTCTATTCTGTAAATTACTAACACTGTGGTCTTGATTTACTTTTTCTCTCGAGGAAACTAATTGAATTAATTCAATATTCTTTGGTAGGTAGAAAAATATTTCCTATTCCCAAAAGATTGCTTGACACGTCTGGAAATTATATTATTTTGTAATAGAGATTGAAGTAATTTGTACTGAGGGATATTGCTTTTGTTTGATAAAGGATAATAATAGTACTATTTGCAAATATGTAATTTATTATTTATTCAGAAAAAAATTATACCTTTGTCTTGATTTTATTGATTAAACAGGTATTATAGACAATAACCGATTAGTGTTGTGTGTAAATAATACAGATTTATTAGTCGTGAATTTGTATAAACATTTAACTATATCGTCGACAATATTTGATTTAAATTAAGGTATTTTCAATATACTGATATGCTATATGCTGATATGCTATATAATACAATTATTGACTAGTGAGCCATTGAATATGATCGGTAAATGTCATATTGACCGAGGCGATACCCGAAATCAATATGACATTTTGCCGGTGAATATAACATCATATTCAATGGATTATTAGTTTAGAATAGCACAAAAAAGTAAAGCCTAATGTTAAAAACAGGTTTTCAATGTACTTATCATTGTGATGTAACCTTTACCTATTATTGTGGAGTGACGAAAAATATGCGATAAAGTACATAAAACAAAATGCAACAGTTTTAAAAAGTCTATGCTATATGATCAATGAATATGAGCCTAATTCTATTTTAGAGAAAATTCAGCCAGAGAATATGATACTACACCTAGCCATTATTGCGCATGCGCAGTTAATTGTCTTTGCTGTATGGTTATTGAATATGAGTCTGATTCTATTTAGAGAGTTCAGTCAGTGAATATGATACTAAACCAATGGTTGGATACTACGTATTCGCGCACCTGCTAAATGCTCCCACTCGGACCATTTTTACAGAAAATCCGCCGACTCGAAGGTAAAATACAATTTTATTATAATAAATAGCAAAAGTATCAAAATAATTATGAAGCGCGCCAAAGAATGGCTATAGTACTTGAGATAATCGTAAATTAAGGTTAATAGATTTATTGCCTGGTTCAGGCCTGAAAACGGGATAAGTGTTTTCCTCTCAGTGCTCCCACTCGGACTTTTCCCGAAAGGTTGAAAACCTTCTTGAAAATTATTTAAGCGTACCAGAAAATATATAGTATCCGATTC